GCCCGAACTCGACCATTATGTGTGGCTATACTACGCCTTAACTTCACATTAAGCATGTAAGTGAACATGAACATAAAGCGATACCATAACTTTGCTTTACAATTAGAAATTGTACCTACCGTATTGGATTGAGCCCTATGACCAAACAAACATTCCTTTTTCATCTTCACGTACAGCATCTACATCGAGTTCAGCAAGTACACAGTTTGATGTGCCTAAATTGATGAACAACCGCTGTGCTGATCGGTTACAATTTCAGGGTTCAAGAGTTGTAGATGGTCCCCCATATAACGATGATTGACAGAAGGATAATGAGGTCTTTTCAATTTTCCCTCTTTTATTGGGCCTTGACAACCAGGTAATTAACTTACTTGTACCGAGACTGTCCAACACAGTTTAACATTCAATCCTCTTGGTAGATATATTCATCTGTAAAGGTAAAGTTGAACTCAAAAGCAGCACTTACTGTTGAAAGATTCCAATTTAAGCTAGGTGTGCCGTTATTGAACTTTTTGGCGATGTTCCCACACAACTAGACAACTCGTACACAGAAAGCTTGTGGTTTTTCTTTCATGGATTGTTGTACTACAGTGCGTTTAAATCGGGGGGTCAGACGTATGCCCTCACTATTATAACTCAATCAATTGATGAGCGCTTGACATTTTGTAAACATAAGGCAAAGTCCTTTATACCAATGTTCACATCACTAGGCCTTTGCAGGTTTAGCAAGACGCTAACATATCTGCGCTGGCCCATGGCAACTTCATAGACATATTTTTGGAATGAAACCAGTGTTAGAAAAATATAAGCGATGGTAACATTTGATGCAAAAGAACATTAATTTTTACTATGGAAAAAGGCAACTAAGTATTAAAATTTTAACCGGTCAAATTGGCCTCTTGGATTCACCACAGTTTGCAGTTTCCGAACGAAAAGAGGTGTTGAGGATGGTTCGCTTTTTATCTTCAGAATGTTTATACTCAGTTATAAATGTGACCAAGTCCTTTGTCGGATAAGTTTTACTGGTTTTTCGAATGCGTTTGACGCCATAGCTTCAAATAAAGAAAAAAAACAATTAAGTAATTTGCTGAATTTTATTGTCACCCCACAGCATACTGACAGATCACACATGGTAAAATGCTCAGAAGGTAAAGTACAGGGTATCTGGGCTTAGAGTTGTTGAGTTTAGATGCACTTCAAGGCTTTGGGATTTCTTCGGTTCTGTTCTTATACACAAAGGACGTCGATAATCTACGAAAGCCCAATCGTGCCAATGAAGTATAAATTTTTAGCCTGACACTAATTCGTTTTAATGAACTACTTATTCGAAATAACGAATTACTAATTCGTAATAACCAAAGATAGTATAGCGTCGCGGCGCTACTATCTTTGGTAATAACGAAATTACGCACTGATCCACAGAGCCCCTAAATGGCGCTCTTTATTTCCCACGTCAAACAGAGAAATGTCAGAAGCTAGGCGTCATGGCCATGGAAATCACAGAAATATGTGTGCGATTGCACCACGCAAAAAGGCCATAAAATACGTCCGCCGAGCTCATTAATAAAAGTTATACCCAGTGCGCGTTTGGACAAATTTCGCGCGTTTGCGATTGGCCAACGCATTGCAAATTCTTGATGGCGCACTATTGTGAATCGCCCGTATTGAAGAAATATGGCACTGAACCTCTGGCCCGGACTCAGGGCTTCTGATTCTGAGCAATTTGGATGCAGTCGGGTCCGAAAGTGGCACTATGTAGCCGTTTTGCAGAGGGATGCGTTGTCAAAATGGCTTCTTTTTCCGGGCAGTGAAATTTCCTTCTTTTTGGGGTGGTCCGCTGGGGGTGAGAATATTTCAAAAATTCATCAGTCAACCCACTAAAAATTGACAGGAAATGAAAGACCATAAGTCGAACATCATTTTCTTGTCCAGCTTGGACACATGTGACAGATGTATTTTAAAAATTATTTTGAAATAAAAGAAGATGTCATTGGTGTCTATGAAAATTGAACTTAGGGGTGCACCCTTAGACGTATGAAGCATGCATGCCTCGAATTAAATGGGAACCAACGCAAAACAGCTCCATCTGGAGGCTCAAGTAATTCATTATTTCGAATGAGTAATTCGTTACTTCGAATGAGAAATCCGTTAAAACGAATTTGTAGTTCGTTATTACGGATTAGTCGCTATTTCGGATAATTTAGTAATTCGTTATTTCGGACGGTTATTTTGGATTAGTGATTCGTTAAAACGAATCAGAATCAGGTTGAAAATTTATACTTTGTTAGCAAGATTCGTAACTGCAGTAAAATCAAACATGTCACAGTCAACAGTAGTTTCTTGCATGAACACTCATTTGAGTATTTCAACGCATTTCAGGAATTTGAAACTGCTGTGAGCAACATCATTTTCACTTCTCAGTGTTAACCCAGCAAAGGAAACTTCAATTTTTGATTTCTGTGACTGCGGTCGAGGAACCTTTGGCTATTAAAAGTACAGGGACTGTGATTGATAATAAATTTATATGCACAGACAAACAACTGCAAGACTGCACAACAAATCGAAGATAATATCTTTTGAGGAAATTAAAGGAATGTCATGTTTACAACTTGCAGGCTTTTGATTCTTTTCTATAAGCTCAGTATTCAGAGTATTTTTCAATTTTTGTTTCATCTGTAACTTTGGTAACTTGCTAAGAGAACACATCAAGAAGTTGGAAACACCAATGAAATATGCCCAGCGAATAATCTGTACAAATCTGCCATCAATGTGTTTGTTGGAAGTCCACAATAATAAAACGTAGGCCCTACATTCAACGACTTTTTAAAGGTAAATTTAATTGATGAGGTATCCGTCTCCGTGTCCCGTCACATTTGTGTTGATGCAGTTACATTTGGAACGCGCTCGTTCCAAATGTAATTCCGCCGTTTAATATGTCTGCGAACAAGTAATTATTGATTGTTAAGTAATGTTTAAATAGCTGTCCATTCGTCTCAGTGATATGGTGTGGGCTTTTTATTCTGTTCTTTGCTGGTTTACGAATTTCTTGTTAAAATTAAAGTAATGCGGTCTTCTTGACAACGTATGTATTTTCTGTGTTCGTGAATTTAATTTGAGGTTGTATCGCTTGTACTTACAGCGAGCGCGTTTCCACAATATTTCCTGCCGGAACACGGGGTTCATCGTCCGCTCAACGGACCCATCACGCACGCTAACCACGCGATCTGCGGACATCCCGTCGTGGTGAGCATTGTGCACGATCTGATGACTCTCCATTATTTTTTCGACCGTCAATATTTCTACAATCAAGGCAAGTTTTATCACTTTTTGAAGTATTTTGGTAGCTAATATGGAACATACATGTATTACATAATTGAATAACCCAATGAACTGGCAGTGATTCGGCACCACAAAAAATCGGCCAACTGTTTTTTCCCGACCTACTGACCCTACTTTTGACCGGCATGTAATCGGAAGCAGAACTATTTTTTATGGTTTTCAAATATATGTGCATTGATTTATTTTGAGTGAGTTGAAGTGATGCAGTGTATAAAGTATCATAATTTGTTATATGATGTAATGAATTGAAATGCTAGTGGAGGCTGAATTTCTATGCATTTTAGCTTGGACAGTAAACTTGAATCATAGCTTAAATTTAAAATTTAATTTCATTTATTATTTCTTAGGTACACGTATCAACAAGGGGCGAGAAGAAGCGAACTTAATCACTATCGTGAGGCTCTCCTAAGTTGCTATCATCAGAAAAAGAAAATAAATAACATATGGACATTAATGGGAACAACAGGACGCTAGTTATCAGTTGCTTATACAAATAATTAACATGTAATATCGAGACATAAAAAATAACTAACACAAGTATAAATAATAAACTTATTCCTCATTTAGTAATAGGATATATGTACACTGCGCTAATTACACCAAAATACACTAATTACAGTAAAATTCTAAAAACACTAAATGTTTCCACGCATAAAATCTCAGGTCAAACCCTAAATTGAATTCCCAGTGACATCTACAAGACGTGTCCCCCCTTTAACAATGAGATACAACCCTGACTGATCAAAATTTAGAAACATAGGTCTATACACATGTGTATGAACCCACTTCCTAAAAAAAGTCTAATACAGATTGCATTTTAAAAATCAGCCATAACTAATGATTAAGAAATTGTCAAAGAAATAAACATAAACATAAACGAGACTGAATTGGGTAATCGTAATCGCTGCACTCTTCTTAGTATTGCGCACCAGTAAATAAACTGCTAAAGACAATTATAAATAGTTTTTTAAAAAATCAAGAAAAATACTCACTAGCTTTGCATCTGCTGAAACCATACTTCAATTGAAGCTCATTGCCTCATTATTTCTTTTTTTTCAATGGTTAGTGGGTTAACTACTGAAGCATCTATAGGAAATGACTAAAACAAAAATGGCCCTCTATTTCGCGTGGGGGGATTAGTATTTCGTCCGGGCAAAATAGCAGGCCCTTTTTTTTCATGTCATATATATGCTTCCGTAGTTAACAAATGACGTCTGATGATATTTTTATCTAAAGATCTTCACCTCTAAAACAGTCATATCATGAAGAGCCATATGGAGGGGCCTATCATTATCCAAATTTTATCAGAGTTTACCCGAGTTTTATCGTAAACTCTAGTATGGTTTTATTTAGAGCGCCCTCAATGTTAAGATCGAAGATAAAATGGCGGCCTCCATCTCGACATTGAACATGTTGAAAACCTTATTTCTATCTACGCGATCGTCTGCGACATTACACAGAATTAACTCATTGAAGACTGGCTTAACCATTTCGAGAATCCATAGTGTGAGGTTCTGTAGTAATTTCAAGTCAGAGATAGCAGTGAGTGGCGGACAAAATAATGAGGATGAACATGACTCGTCGCGTTTGCCCGACGATATACATGATGTGGGGCTAGGCCCATCCGACAAAAGCCTAGGCCTATCCAACAAACAGCCGCAACCACTAAACTGGAACTTGACAAGGCGAGGTCAAGCCAAACGGTATGCACGGGAGGGGAGAGCTTCAGGTGTCGACCCCAGCATCATGTGGCCAACACAGAGTGAACTTGAAAATATCATCAGAGACGAAAAGGAGTGGTGTCCATCGCTGCAACAGATGCAGAGGGAAATTGCCGAAGAAAAGACAGTCATTGAGCTAAAAAGAAAGAAGAGGTAGGTTTAGCAATTTAGGCTAGCCATGGAGGAATAAAACACAATGGGCTAGGGGGCTAGGCGACCAGGCTGTACATGTAAATAGGGCCACTGTCATGCAGTGCCTATTTTTGCAAGATGGGTTAGCCAAAACTGAATACGTTTTCCATTGATGGCCCACCTGTATGTGTAACTTTAAGTGGCAATAGCTTCAAAACTTGGCATGCTTGTTGTACTGATAATGAGTTAAGAAAGGTGGAAGGAAAAAGGTGGAATATATGTCTGCTGTGGAAAAATGCATTATGCATAATGTTCTTCAAAAGGTTGTTATTAGTCAAAGTATTTTTTTCACATCAAATTTGATAGTTCATAATATTTAAAGTGAAGATAAAGATTTTCAATAAGATGTTACATTTAAAGCATCCCCTCGAACAAAACAATTTTCTGCCAGCTCGAGTAAGTTTTGTGAAAATGAGTGACACAGTGTTTCATGGCATTTCCTCTTCCCTGTTTTTGTCGGCTCGGTTGATTTAATGATAACACTCTCTGTAAAGTTGAACAGCAAAATTGAACTGTTGCACTTTTCTTTCTTGATGCAGACAACAACAGATTGCAGCAAACATGGCAAAGATGCCCAGGCTGCTTGCTGAGCACCGGAAGAAGATGGCAGAGAAGGCGGCCCAGCTCCAGGAGCAGATTGCCAAGAAGAACCGTCTGCTAGAAGAGGCCAAGGAGAAGTTGGGATATGCCATTGACCCTCGCAGCACCCGCTTCCAGAAGATGGTGCAGGAGATTGAGAAGGAGGAGAAGAAGAAAAAGAAGGAACTGAAAAAGAAAGGCATAGTTGTATAGCAGCAATGGCACACCGATGTATGAGACAACGCCTAGAAATAAGGCCATGTCAACATTAAATGGCCACTGCCGGAAGAGCAATTGGCAGTGGCACACCGATGTATGAGACAACGCCTCGAAATAAGGCCATGTCAAAATTAAATGGCCACTGCCGGGAAGAGCAATTGGCTTAGTGATTGTAACCATTTGCCATGGACTTGTTTTTTTGTGAAATGCAAGATAAAACAAAAAGTAACTCAAGCATTTACCTTGTGGTATCCTACATAACCCTGTTAAACCTTGTAAAACCTTGAGATAAACCTCAAATTACCCCTGGTTTGATTTTGAATTCATCTCTTATTGTTAGCAGCAACTAAGTTATTCAGATGTGGCCTTAGAGCAGTGGTCACACAGGTGTGATGGCATCGTATCATAAGAGTTTTCATCAGCAGATCCAAGTATACTAAAATCTACGAATCTGATGAGTGTATCATTTTGTGACCTCGTAAACTTTTAGGTTAGCATGGAGACTAAGGCCGTGTCCGAAACGGGCTTCCAGAGCTACGTCTCCACGCATTTCCATTGGAGCGAAGACCTAGCTCTAGACAGTAGATTCAGATGCAGGCTTAGAATTATCCGCACTAATATTTATGGCAAACTGAGATCGACCATGGGAAAAGGTAATTATTGGAAGAAATTGTTCAGAAATAGGGTCAATAAGAATTTTATTGGAATGCATTTACTAATAAACAGCCCTGTTCTCTTCAAAGTCTGCACTCTCCATGTCTCATCGTATTCTGGTTTAGGACACTGTAGAAGTCCGTGAAAAGTTTGTCTTCCATTGTACAAGTACTGTTGCAGGCTACTCAAACGAATGCCATAGTTTATTTGAAGACTTCAATCTAGTTTAACCCTAAAAAGAGCCAAGCATCTCACAACTGGGGGGGTCCCGGTTGTTTTATTGCCTGATCTTTCGGAAATTTTGCCTGTTTGTAAAGGCACTCATTGTCAGTACAACTGGGAAGCTTTTAACTCAGTCCAACATAGCATCTTGTTAACAGTCATTTGAAATTCTTGACCAAACGCTTGTCTGTCTGTAGGCATTGAGTACTCAATAGCAAATTTGCTGGCATACATTTCTTGTTAATCTGTTTAGGCAAAATGGGTATTGCGTGAGAACAGTGTGTCCATTTTTGCAAATTGGTGTCAAAATGACCACAAGACATTCCTGAAAAACCTCTGAGGGCTTGGCCCTTAAGAAAAACACTTTGCAACAATATTGGACAGCCCTCAGCTACGCAAGGATTGTACAGAGCAGTTACTGTTTCACAGGAGGATATCCCTGTATGCTGCCTACTTACAAACTAACATCTTAAGCGGAAAGTGTTTAGATTAGAGTTTGTTACAATTTTCATGCAACACTTCCCCGTTTGTTAACCGAAGTTCCTCATATTCTCCAAGGTCCAAAACATTCCTGAAAGTAAAGAATCCAACTTTTTAGGTAATTAAAACAAAATTTATAGAATTTTCAGAAATATAGAATGCTCTAAAATATTCATTTCTTCATTGTCTGAACCTCAAAAATTCAAATGCACACATTTGTAGCTTCCAAAGAAGGTCAGTCTTACACTGGAGACATTCTGGTACAGAGTTGCTGCTGTATAACTGTCATGGCATATGAATTGACTGGTGTGTAGACATCTACATTTCTCCAGAATTATTTGTTAAGTCTTAATAATGTTCACCAGCTGTATGTCTGTTGGGTTGTCATAACTTCACCAAAAGTCTGCAGTAAATTTTTTGTTGTGAATGACACTTTGATTCTTTGATTCTTTTCCTCAGATCAAAATCTGCCCCAAATTTGAAAAAGTTTCAATGAACATTTATTCAAAATATCCAGTCTCATTAGAGTGCTTGTGAGCTTCAAGATAATTGTGTTTGTGGAAAACAGAAATGGAAACAAAAGGCACTGTTGTTTAGTGAGTCAGTTTCTTGTTATGCAATCCGTGTCCATGAGGGAAAATTGTATTAAGATTAGTGGGGCAATATTGGAGATGTGCCATCATCCCCTGTGACCCTGGGTGTTGCTGCCCGTGGTAGTCATATGCAAACAGGATGGTTTGCTGTTTTGTTTGTGATTCTGAGACGGTTTTTGTGACCCTGCTCTATTTTGCATTGGAGTGTAGCCCTTTTTTTCAAAATCTCCGGCCAAAAATATTTTCAGAAGTCATTGGTTAAGCTAATAAAAATTTAAAAGAACACGAAAGATGAGTAAATGAGTTTTAATTTGATGTGTGTCTTGAACACCTGCAAAACTAAGCATTTTTCTTGTTTTTTGAAGTACGAGTAGTTATCACTTTGGCAGCTGGTCTGCAACGTTATGTCCACTATAGTCTTGGCAGGGTTGCGCCCTCTATTAATGCGTTGTGCTAGCTTTGGCCGTGTCCGAAAAAACTTAGCTACGGCTGAAATAACGGGCATTTATGTAAGCCTCTAGCTAGAGGCTTGTGCATGTCCCGTTGACTTACGTGCAACTTCGGCCGTAGATGATTAATTCGAGCAGGCTACCGAAAACCCCAAATCTGGCTTTGTTGGGGCACGGACCACGGTTGGGGGATCGAACCGCGAAATGAACACAAACAGGCGGTTTATTGATTGGAACTGGTATACCTGCGATACAAACGAGATAAAAACGGGTACCATTGATGCATACCGACACCATGTACCAAAGCGACATCGTCAAGCGACTGACCTGACAGAAAATTTAAACAACTAACGCGAGTCAGTGCGGTGCATGTAGATGTTGTTTGGCCGCAGAACGATGCTACAGTAATGTACATGTATATTGTGAAAGGTAAATCGTTGATTCTTTTATCGTCTTCATAAGTATGTAGGAAAAAATGTTACATCCTAACTCCACTTTCCTCAGTCATTATTGCTGGAAAGACACAAATCCTGGACTGAGAAACATTTACCGATGTTGTTGGGAAACAGAAAATTCTCTTCACTCCCCATAGGCTTTGTACATGTACACAACTGCTGAAGTGGAGTCAGGCTGTACATGTAACAATTTTTCCAGTAGGCCTATGAATTTTGGGCATTTTTTTAAATTGAATTTGATACTGGGTGATCATGGGTGGTGATTATGTTCCATTGTTTTTATTATTACCAGGGGCATTCAGTTGATCTAAATTAATTTAGCCTAAAGTAATTAATAATAGGCCTGGCCCTAAATTTACTTAATGGCTAGGCCCTAAGTGAATTTGCGGGCATGGCAGGTTTGGAAAACTTTTTTGGGAAAGAGTTCCATATAGGGACAGCACCAATTTTCCCGTGAAATGGTATAACAGCTGTCTGAATGTGATGAAGTCCACAAAAGAAAATTCTGAAGCATTTAAGAAACAACTCTTAGTCTTACTTCCAACAGTAGCTTTTTTCAGACAAGTCGCATACTAAATTGGGGGCATCAATACGATCAAGTGTTTTCCGTATATATGGAGCTCTTTACCTGTTTTGAAAAAGGGAAGTTGGTCTACACGTAAACCGTGTAAACAGGTACTTTGAGAACTCGAAGTCACTAACTTTGTGATACTCTTTGTGCCTTCGAGGTAAGAAGGTTTACATGGCGTCATAACACTATGGCGTTTTGGAATCAAATTTTTGTGGTGAAATGGTTTGCAGCCCTAAAAAAGCTATTTTCCCCTGTCAGCAAATCTGCTTGATCCATACCAGCTAAGAAGGGGATAATAGTAGTTTCAGAGCATGAGATGGAGTATTTTTGGAAAAAAATGAGATTTTTGCTCAACAATTTCTCGCTTCCACCTGTTCCGTTCATGCCGTTCGCGTTTATCAGACTGCGCATGTGTCGAGCCCACCAATGACTGCACTTGTTCCACATCTTGGCTCGACCGTTTTCGGTGGCGTGGGATGACGTCTTGTGTTGTTTTCATCGTTGGACCGTCCTGGCTGCTGTTGTGACCTGGAAACACACATTGGGCGAGATGCGCGACATGTGCTGCGCCGTGTGTGATGTCATCCCCCGCCGTATGATTGCCGTATGGGGTACAAGATACATATACCCCTCAGCAAATGTGCGCAGAAAGACTTTTCTGTATCTTACCACGCAAATGAATGGTCGCTTGGGCAAAATTTTAGACCGGCTCCTAGTCTTTCCAAGTTTATATTGTAGACTACAAGACAAAACAAAACCAATTTGCAAAAGGCAATGAATTTTTGGTTTAGCTTTTTAGGTGTACCGGTACAGATGGCTAACTAAAAAATTTCTTCATCAATCTGCTAATGCAACTTGCATGATTTTTGTGTGCTCTTTCCAAAATAGCTTTGTAGAATGTAACTCTCAGAATCTTTTCCAAATCTCCAGAGAATAGGATAACGTCATCCCAATGCTAATGTAATTTCATTGTGACACTGGCAGATGAAATGTTCAAGGTCTATTCCATGCATATTCCAGTTGGCTGATACGTGTATGTCCCTATGCACCATACATGTACGTAATTATGATCAACTATGATGTCCTGCATTATCTAGGCATATCCCACAATGGCAGGTACATAAATTACAAGTTACTAACGCCAAATGTGTAAGCACCAAATAAAATTCACTCTCTATGAATACGGTTTCCTTTGAGTGTAAAATCTTCAACACCTCACCCCACATGTTTTGTATATAAAGCAAGCATTTTATTCTAGTTTCATTCTCTTTTTAGGTGGTTGTCGCCAACAATTGATAACAATGGAATGCTCAGAGTCCAGTTGGCCGTTTGCCAACATGTAATCGGTGCAGCACATTTCTGGTGTCTAGGATGGTGACATTAAGTGTCAGATAAACAACTCCACTTTGTCAGGCCATCAGCAAAGATGCGCTTTCACTCCCATTGCCATGGTGCCAACATTCAGCTGTCTGAGGATGGCAACACAGCCACGCGTGTCAGTGGCTTCAGCCACGCGATTGTCTTTAGCAACGGACCCCTCGAACCAGGCCGGAGGGTGTCGTTTGAATTCTGCAAATACGAGACCTGCTGGAATGGTGCCTTACGAGCTGGGCTGACCAATCACAATCCAGACGGCTTAGATCCTGGTGCCTTACCCCAGTACCTCCTGCCCAATTTGACTGAATTGCCGGGTACCTGGGCCAAGTCCATCCCGGAAAGTAAGGCAAAGACAGAAAACCTCTTCTCTCTTTTCTACACAAGAGAGAGAGTTGTACAGTTTCTTATAAACAATGAGCATCTCCAGCAGTATCAGCTCCCTGAAGGGTCGCTTGATATTAAGAGACCAGTCTGGGTTATACTAGACCTACATGGATGGACGGTGTCTATACGATGCATTCAACCAAGTAAGTACACATACATGTGCATGTATGGACCTGTGGCACAGCTAGAAATTTGTTATACTTTTGTAAGCGTCTTTTCATAGGAGTAGTTCCCCTCCATAAATAGTTTTTGTTTAGAGTTTCCCTGTATTTTTTCTTTTAGTGTGCCCCCCTGTTTATGTATTTAAGCCCCAGCTCCCCCCTATATAGTGTTGACACATGGTCTAGCCACATTCAGTGTGACAGATCAGCAGAGACCAGTCAACGTCACATGTATTGTTCCTCTTTAACTGGAGCGTGGTTTTCTGCTTGAGCCCTTTTCTGCTGGAAGTCAGTGATCGAAAGCCAAACTCTGCTCATTGGGTCCATTTTACATACTGTGTTGGGTTTTGGTTTTAGTCTTTAAAGTCCTTTAGGATTTTTGTATTTTTCCAGAACTTTTTCATTGATAAATTCTTTTTGTCCTTTTGTTGAAGTCAAGTATTGGTGTCTGAGTCCTTATTAATTCAGTTTCCTGCGACTTTTCCCTCAAAGATCCTTGGTTTAGTTAGAGTTGTTGTTTTGCGAGTTCCCCATAATGTGCCATTTTCTCCCGTTACAGACAGAAGGACCTCTCTTACTGTTGTTATACCCACAGTTCATCTCGCAGACTTTTTTGGATTGAGGCTTTAACTTACACGTAGTTTCCACGGTACATGTACATACATGTACATGTACTTAGAACCTGCCTACCTTCAGTACTACCTTCTTGCTTGTATGTCCTGTAAATTCCATCACTGTGCAGAAAACCGACCATACATGTACATCCACTGTAGTTTCTTTGACTTTTCAAGGAACATAAAGTTACAGGTGAAGAAATGTCTCTCTAAATCCTGGAAAAATTTCAATTCTTGAAGTTTTTGACCAGTAGATTTTGATTAGAGCCAATTAAGGGGTAATTTTTTTTTTAATTTCACATCCCAGCCTCAAGTAATTTGATTTTGGGTATCAGTGTGGTAATAAAAATTCTAAAATGTTATTACATTTGAGTCACAAAAGTGTCATCTTTTGATCTTTGTGGGAAATTTAAAATTGTTTGAATTTTTGATGTGAAATTGTGAATGTGTGAAGCAGCTTCATGTAAAGATACAACGTACCATTAAAGAACAATGCACTAAAAATGAAGAGTTTTTGAAACAAAATTGTTTCCCAGTTGTAACCCAACTTAACAAAATGAGCCATACATGTATGTTGCCAGATAAAGGCCTTTGAGAGAATCTCTCCCTGTAAATCAGCAGGAACCGTCAACATTTTTCACCCACATAATATATATTTTTGATAAGGTTCCAACACGAGCACTTCACCAAAATAAATAAATTTAGCTCAGTTTGGTTTCTAATGAAGACTGAAACAAAATGGCCGTCAGCCTTATTTTGTGGGATCTGGTTCATGGTTGAACTGTTGTTTCTCTATTCAAGTACTAGTAAATGGTAGCCAGAATGGACAACTTTTTTCTTCCCTCCCTCAGTCCAAGATGATGTGCCTTCAGAAGTCCTGGCCAGGGGGCCTGAGGCTGCCGCTGCATTCCAAGTTGCTGCCAACTCTGGGACCAAGGCGGTCCATCGGACCCGCCTGATGATTGTTGGCCAAGCTGGTGCTGGAAAGACATACCTTAAGAAGGCTCTGCTTGGACAAAGGTAAAGAGAGCTTACCTCATTGGATTATTTTTATGATAAAATGTATCATTTACAATTAGCATGTAAATGTGCAGTAATAAAATGCAGCCCCTTGGGGCACTAGTTTCGTGTATTGGCAGCTAGAGCGTGGAACAAACTGAGTTGATGTTGTTGCCGTTATTTGATTCTATCTGAATTTATGAGAATTTATATAGGACTTGTATTGAGTACTGTCTTCATCATACAGTTGTAACTTTTGATGCATTTTGTAGAACTGACATCTTAAAACCGTGTAATTTAATTGGTTAGTTTCATGTGGGTGTGGCATAATTTGTTCTTGAAAAAAGCATTGGAGTTTGAACTGCATGTACAATGTAAGGCTACATGTACAGTAGCTGTGGGTAGCAAGAAATGCTTATGCATTTCTAAAGCATGGTTGTGCTTTTTCGTCCTTTCCAAAATATCCTGAATATGTGATGCATGTCCAACAAATGCTTACCCACATACATGAAGTGGGCTGAAATTTGTTGGAGAAGGTGCCAAGAAATACAATTCCATTCACACATTTCAGCCTGGGGCTGGACTTCAATGTACATGTAGGGTACCAGCAACAGGTTCATGTAGGTTTGATACCACGGTTATCTTCCGCTGCCTTCTCTCAAGGCAATTTGACAATCTCATTGCATTTGGTTTGTCTCAATGTATGGGATCATGTAAAATTCAAGTTTCCTTGAGTGTACCGGTCGCCTTCATGTATGATTGCAGCAGCATTAGCAATTCTGTTGAGCATTACACATGGCCATGCATATTAAAACATGCCTAGTAGCCTTCCACGCATACTGCCATTTGTTACCAGGGACTGGTATTTTTCCTGTTTAAGGAATTGAGACCGTTCTTGTCACAGCTTTTTTCTAGGGATGTGGTCTGGGAACTGTCTCCACACAGGCACGCGTCATGCCACACACCAAATTTCACACATGGTAAAAATTAGTAGGAATCCTTAGTAAATGAAAGATACAGTTAAAGACCAACTCCAACGGTGTAGATTTTTCTCATATTGAATCCTATTTAGAGGATCCAAGTCTAATAAATACACGTTTTTGTGTTAATAAAACACAGTTTTTGTACCTATTTTTCCTGGGAGTCCAGTCTGCAGTTGTAAAAATGGACGTGTCGTCACGACTCATTAGTGTCTAATGAATATTGATTTCTGTGATGTACATGTATTACCGTGGATAGGAAATACCACAGTACGTGCGCTATATGCATCCATAGCACGCATAGCTGCGGACGACAGCACGAACTTGAAGAATGCTCTCATTCTTCGGAAACTCCAAGAATTTCAATCGCGGTTCTTTGGCAGAATTTCTAGTACGTGTACGTCCACCAAGACGCACGATTTGGGCATTATTGTAAGTCATGAAGAAAGGAGCACAAACTCTCAACCGAAAAGAGATAATGAGGCACAGTAGAACCTGCATACAGATCGATCCCTGACACGCGGTGCACGCACATGTAGCTCCATTTTCATATATATGTACGTTGGTAGCACAACCAGTCGTGCCACGGATACCAGTTTCAATGTTTTCTCTTGTGTAACATCATACAAATTTCGTTTCTCAACTGCGCCACCAGCGGTCAGATTGTGGAAATTTGTCATAAAACTCAAAGACAATGTTCAAAAGTTTCAGCAAAATTACAAAAAATACAGATGCAAAACATGACTTACTTTTTCTTTTTTACTTTGTCTTGTAAACAAGACATGATTTGGTAATGAATATGTATGATTTATTAAACACTAAATGCAATAAGAGTTTATTTTCAAAACTTTAAAAACAGTTGGAGTTGGTCTGTTCAAATGGGATCTCCGTTGGTGTTTGTACGTACATACATGTATGTATTTTCCATAAAGTGTATGTATTTTGAAGTCTCACTACTTGTATTTGTACATGCAGTAATTCAACAAAGTGTGTTTTTTCCTAATGATAGGGCAGGAATGTACACAAACATGTACATGTACTCGCATACAGTGGCTCATCACCTGATCACTGTGCTTGTCCATACTGATACTGGTACATGTACAATAAAATACATGTATCAATCCAGAGCTTTGATGTGGCCGTTGTAGTTGTAGGCCGTTGGCATAGTTCCCTGTGTTACTATGTCATGCAACTCACTACATGTAGTAATCCTTCTTTTAGTCAATGTCGTTTTGTCTTGTAAGTAATTGTAATCAAAGCGAATAAATTGTCTAGCCACATTTGAATGACATTGGAACAAACTACCGTAAGAAACTGGGCTCAAAGTCTGACATTGTGTTAGTGAGAATTTATTTCTTAAAAACTGGTCAAAGGCAAACGGAAAGTAGGCAAAAAGGAAAATGTGTCTCCCTTAAACAAAATTGAAAATAAACAAAGTAACCAATGTGGGTGGCATTCCAGGTGCAACCCGTGGATCCTTGAATCTATTACTGGTACGGTATGTTATTTTTATATATTTATTAAAGTTTCATCCTTTTATTCAATAGCTGTTACACATACCAGTTCCTGTATCTATTCATCATGCCCATTCTCTCATTTTGCAGAGCAGTTTAGGGAAAAGTGTCCAAGTTGAATGGCAAACGTGACAGCAAGGTATTGGGAGCAATTTGGCCAGATAATGTGCACGTACTGCAGTGTAATCAGGGCAAGTGCACCAGATACAGTGCACAGGTCCTTAAGTGTATTGGGAGAAATTGTTGATGGTTCTAATTACACGTACATGTATGAGTGGTATACATTTACAGGAACACGTAGTATGGGACCCAGTTGGCCGATTCCTGTAAGGAGAGGGTTCCCCAGAATTCTTTAACCCTAACCACCAAGCATATTGTTTGGCTTACAGTACTCAGTACTACAAAATACTTAGTAGTAGCCTGAGCCTGAAGGACCTAGCGCTACAGATTACTACTTCTGGCTAGGTTCCTTCCATTGTTACTGGTATAGAAAACAAAGCCATGCATTCATAGTGTCACAGCACTGTATGGTACCGGTACCTTGTCTTTTCTATTGTATTTTATGGCTTCAGAGAACAATGCAGTCATGTCCTCTTGCTAGTGGCAGCACTGACTACTACATTTTACTACAAGTAGTAATTTGTAGTATTATGTAGGGTTAGGGTTAATTATAACGAAAGCATGGCAGTCAAATATGTACGGTATTTTCCACAGCGTCCCTCACCCACTCTACTGCCAAGCTTCTGGATGGAAGGCTGTACTGGCACACTGGCTTCTCCTGCATTCGGCAATTAAAATTACATAGGACTACATGTACTTTACAACTTAAACTTTGTATTTGCAAGTACTGTACATGTAAGCAAAGTAAAGGGTGTTCATCTCTCTGAACTGTGTTGCCATTACAGGGGCAGTTTTGGGTAATAAAATGGACAAAATGGAACCAGGTCCCCAAAATTGATGGTTGGGTTGCAGGTACATGGTACTCTGAATAGCCCTACAAATTACGGTATTTTTGTTTAGGTTTTTGTTTTTTGGTGCTATTTTGAAGGTAGGATGGGCTGGAAAGGATAGGTCAATGATAATCTAAAATGAAAAATGACATAGATCTTGCCAGTTCTTGTTTATTTATCTTAAAAATGTTAAATTTGTAGATTTTGTGTATTAGAATCTCATGATGGTCAAATTGTTGACCCATTGTTAAATTTGAAATTTGATCTTGCTTCCTTTTCCCAAAGTGAAGTTGAATTACCATCAAACCTCAACATTAACAGTCGTTCACTTACTGGGGTCAAGTACTTTGTTCTTTAGAGCAACTAAAAATTCAGAATAAATTTCCTTTTGGACTCAAAAAGCATCTTCTATAGGGCCTACTAGTTTATCATTGCTGAGATGTTCTTTCTGAATGAAAGCACACTCCCCAAAAATTAGCAAGAACATTTCTTGAGTGTGTTAATTGAAAACGCAGTACTCTACTCTGAACATGTGTGATGTAGAAATATACATGTACATGTAGTTCCACTATCCAATAAAATCTCTGTAAATTGCTATGGAGGTAATGATAAGCCTGCATGTAATTACCTGGTATCTTCCAATTTTAATGAAATTTTAACATGCTTTCAGGGGTGTGGACCAAGGTTGTTGTACGCAATAAAATATAGTGTAAGTGACGTTACGCCATTGCATTAAGTTTCATGAAATCGGCTGCATCTCTGTAGTGCTAGCACTAAAGAATGTGCATGATCCACAACTTGCACACCAGTATGCATTTGCACACAGTACCAGTGGTCTCATGTTGAATTCTTTGGTTGGTACGAGTATAGTACATGTACACATACAGTACATGTACATGTACTTTGGTTGCTTCATGTACATGTACTTGTGTAGTTCTTTTTGCCTTGCAGAACATAAAATAGTAAGTGCCATGTGACTGGCTCTCATCCAATCAAGATACAGAATCTGTGGATGAGGTTTATAAAACATTTGAATCTACAGTTGCATGAAATTTCAGAACTTGGAGGCATTTATCTGTATTTGGGTGGGAATTTTAATTGGGTGTTGTATGAAACAAATGGTGAACGTTATGCATTCTTGCATTGGAAAGAATAATTCTGCCTTTGAGAGACAAAGTTATCCATTCCATTGACTGCCTCATGAAAATGCATGCACCTGTGTATTTGCACTAAATCTGTGAAATTTTGTTGCACGTTGCTGTAAGAAATACGGCCTTCCACCAAAAATTGGAAAGTGGATGGTTAAAGCAGACTGAGGAAAAAAAGACAAAAACCTCCCAAAATCCAAAAACAAAACAAAATAGAGAAACTGTATTCATCTACACATCTGTGATTATTCATTTTACTGTAGGTGGCCTTCAGCTATGCTGTAAATGATTGCTCTTGATGAAACTGCTTGCATGCATTGTATGAATGCAGTGTTGGCACAACTGGTGTCTCCTCTTGGCAGCACCAGCCTGTTGTCATGGCAATGGATGCAGGCACTAATAATTGATAGCCCTGTAGATGCTTTCATA